CCCATGGTACTTTCAGTGTTCTCCTCCAACACCATAACTCCAATGCATCAAGTGCTGCACATTAGACATGAGTTAATTAGATGCCTGACCAATTATGGTGGTGGTGGGTATGTGTCATCGAGTTGGTTCCGACTCGTAGCGACCCTATACATGGTTTCTGAGGCTGTAAATCATTATAGGAGCAGAAAGCCTCATCTTTCTCCCATGGAACAGCTGGTAGTTTCAAACTGCTGACCTTGCGGTTCACAGCCTGATTTGTAACCACTATGCTACCAGAGCTTCTTTAACCAATTATAGCAGGCTAATTTTTAAATTGATAATTTCATATAGAAAATGGCCTGTATCACAAAAAAGGTTCCCCAACCCTCGTTTCCAATGATTGACTGGTGGGTTTGAACCACTGACTTTGTGGTTAGCAGTACAGCTGTAGTCCTACTGTGCCTCACCAGGACTCCAGCATCATGCTTGGTGGCAGGTCAGTTCATCATGGTTGTAGGCAGGATTACCGATTGGTGTGGGGTTGGGGAGGAAGATCGTGATTGGAATACATACACAACTGCAGATTACAAAGTTTATAAGATTGTTTCTGGGGCTTCAATCACCTGGCTATGTGGTGCTCTGGGTTTGACTAATGATCCTGTGAACCTGAGTCATAGCCACAAGGTAGTTACAAGACAATACCATGACCCCTGACCTTTAGCTTAAGTTAGATAACAAGCATCTAATTGGCTACTTCCAAACACACCTTTAGTGAGACAAATTGCTTCTCACTGGACTTGTCTAGGGCTTGTTGTAACTTGTGGAAATAATATAAAAATTTCCATTGTAACTTCTATCAAGACTCAAAATTGAATTAGGTCTCCACTGTACACTGTAGCCTTCCACAAACTGAGTGTGTTAGAATTTAAGTTCGAGTACACAGACGCTAACTAATTAAAACTTTATGATTTAACAAAAAGATCCTTAATGGATCTCATAATTGTTTTGTTAAGTTGCTGCTAGGTGTTCTTGAATCAGTTTTGATTCCGGGATCTCCTCATTGTTTTGTGTTAGGTTGTTGTTAGTTGTCCTCGAGCAGGTTCTGATTCACAGTGACCCTAAGCCGAAATGAATGGAGCACTACCTGGTTCTGCACCATCCTCACATTGTTGTTACATTTGAACCCTTTTCTGTTGCCACTGTGTCCGTCTTTCTCCTTTTTAGGGTCTTTCTACTTTGGGGTCTTTGTCACTGTCTCTGCAGTTTATGAAGCATGATAGCCTTCTCCAGGAATTGGTCCTTCCTGATGGTAGTGGTGGTGGTTATGTGCCATGGAGTTGGTTCCAACTCATAGCCACCCCGTATAGGATTTCAAGTCTGTAATTATTTACGGGAACAGAAAGCCTCATCTTTCTCCCATGGGACCATTGGTAGTTTTGAACTGCTGACCTTAAGATTAACAGCCTGACTTGTAACTACTAGGCTACCAGAGCAGGGTATACTCCTCCTGATAGCGTACCCAAAGTGTGAAAGACACAGTCTTGCCTTCTTCTGGCTTTACTTCATCCAAGATAGATTTGTTTGTTCTTCTGATAGTCAGGGCGTTTCTAGATCCCTCACCAACACCATAATTCAAATGAATTGATTCTTCTCTGGTTTTCCTTATCCGGTGTCCAGCTTTCACGTGCATATGAGATGACTGAAAATACCATGGCTTGGATCAGGTGCACCTTAGTCCTTGAAGTGACATCATTGCGCTTTAACCCTTTAAATTAGTTTTTAAACAGATTTTCCCAATGCAATACATTGGTTATGTGCTGTGGAGTTAGTTCTAACTCATAGTGACCCTCTATAGGATTTCTGAGGCTGTAAATATTTATGGGAGCAGAAAGTCACATCTTTTTTCCACTGAATGGCTGGTAGTTTTGAACTTCTGACTTTGAGGTTAGTAGCCTGACTCGTCACCACTACACTACCAGAGCTCTTGAATGCAATTAATAATAACTATTAAAACATGATTTAGTAAATGTCAACCAATGACACAATTTTCCTTGTAAGTTCCAGAATTTTCTGTATTTAAATCCTATATAAAGTTCCTTAAGCCAAAGTACTTAAGTGAATCCCAATTAACCACTGACCATTCTGGATCACTGTATTCCTTTAATAAAACTCTGCTTTAATTTTTAGGGACTTGAGTTTGGTTTCTGACAAAACAAAGATGAGAATGTAAGGAGGATGCGAAACTTGATTAATGGAAATTGAACAAGCATAAAGAAATATATGAGACTGTTCGGACATTGGGAAGAATGAATCCAACATCACTGAACTACTTGTGTAGAAATAGTTGAATGGGAACCAAATGTCTGTGTAATCTGTCACTGAAGACACAATAAAATGTTACTTTAAAAAAATTTAAAAAGCAGAAAATTCCATTAGGCAAAACCCTTAATCCAGTGGGAATGTGAAAGAGTTCATACCTTTTGGAGGATTTAGATGGATGCTTAGGGTCAAGGCAAGTCCTCTTTGCTTTAATGATGAGGCATTTAGTATATTGTATTTTCCTTGTTTTTCCAATGCATCCACCTATTAACCCATTCACATTATTTGTGGAACCAATGAAGCGAGAAAGGTGGTGGGAAGAAGAAAGAGAGGATAGAATTTGGGGGCAGGAAGGACAAGATAGGGAGGAAGAAAAGAGAGGAGGGTGAGGGGATATGAAAGAAGAGGAGGAGAAAATAGAGGGGTAAGGGGACTTAGAGAAATTAAAGAACCACAGGGAAAGCAAGGAAATGAAATACTATAAGGATTTCAGATGGCGGAAGACTATCGACTTTGAACAGGGCTGGCTGCTAGCAAAGCTATGCAATGCTTTTGTCTGGGGATCTTTGAAAATGGGATTGATCCTTCTTTGTCTGAGATAGTTCAGATACAGCAGTGCCAAATGGAAGAGAAATTAATGAAATCATCACTCTACAGGTCTGTCTTCTTCTATGAGGTTGTTTATTGCTGTGTGCACCTTAAATATTAATGTGTCCTGGGCAGCTATGATTTCCCAGACAGCTGTTCTAGTTGCTGCAGACAAAAAGAAAGAACTTACTTCAGCAGCTCAATACTGTCTTTCCACTCCACAGACTAGTTAGAACAAAAATTTCCAACTTCTGTAGCCATGTCAGCAGGGAGAATACTTAGATTAAATTTAAAATTTTAATGGAATAAATTATCTAAAAGGAAATGCATTGAATAAAATGAGGTACAGAATTCAAATGCCAAAGATTAAAAAGGACTTTGCAATTTGGATGATCAAACTCAAAGTATAACTAAGATCTTTTCTTTTTCTACATGTAAAACATTTGTGGAAAAACTTTTGGGTGGATGAAGCCAGTTTACAAAATTTATCTCTTCCAAAGACTGATGGGATGAAGAAAACTTAGCAAAAATCAAAATTGACCATCTGTAACCAACAAAACAAACTTTCAGAAGGTTAAATGGAAGCCCTCAGTGAGTACAACCTGGTCCCAGACTGAAGGCTGTCCTGACACATAGGTGTGATTGGCAAGGCCAGCATCAAAGTCCACAAGGTCCTGATCAGCAGGATCAGGACCCGTATCCAGTCCCCATTGTGATTGGCAGGTGATCTACCCACTTTGGTGGTCAGTCCAATAGGCTATGGTTCTTAAACAAGATAGAGATCACCTTACTAAAAATGTCATGGGAAAATGGTGATGATTAGAAAAAATCCCAATTCTCCTTGAGTTTGGAGAGGGCTGCTGAGAGTTGGGGACCAGAAGGACTGGTGAAAACCTTGGGAGAAAAGAGCATCTCATCATCCTCACATCACGTCAGGCTCAACAGAGGCAGGGATAGCCAATGGTCCTCCAGTCTTGGGGTCACCAATGTTTGGGACGATCTCAGCTCCAGTTTGTTCCTCAGACCTGCATTCCCACCCTCAGTTCACAGGAGGACAAGTAAAGGGGCTGGGGCCAAAAATGGCAAAAAAAAAAATCAGAGATGACTGTAATGGCTGTCTAGTTTGTACATCTCTCTACTTCACCTACTCTGTCTGAGCTTCTTGGACTGTAGCCATTTCCTTCTGGTGTTCAAGGGGCTATCCACTCATATTCCTTTCTTTCAAAACAACAAAAAAAAAAAAGTTATAGTATCATTTTAATTTAAAACAAATATTTTTCTATTTTCATTTCATATTCTAGTCAAGACTTGGAGTATAAAATCTGTGAGAAAGGCTTAAAGTGTGGGATTAACCAGGTGAGAAACAGAAACACACCTGGTTTCTTTAACGTTGTCTTGTGACTGAGCATCCGGGCTCCTCCTATCTGAAGGAGCCAAGGCCCTGGGGCCTTAGAGAAGGGTTAGTAGATACAGGCCTCCATCTGGGGAGTTCATCAGTGAAAATGTGTAGTTTCTATAAAAATTCCATTTATATTTTTTAAATACTACCTTAGAGTATAAATATGGTGCATAGACAGAATCGCTTATAATTTCTAAGTAAAAGGGGTGATAAAAGAAGGAGGAAGAGGAGATTAAGAGAGAAAGAAGAAGGAGGAGATGAAGAAGTAAACAAAAAGGAGGAGAAGTAGCAAGAAGTACCTACAGGAATGAAGTAGAAACAAAAGGTGACCTGCATTTAATGAAATTGTTTGTTCCTGTCCAGGTTCTAGTTTCATCCCGGTCATGGTAGTTAGGAACATTTTGGTAGCACTGTGTTATGTAGCCCCCGAGGACCTCTGGTTGGTGAAGAAGAGTGTGGCAGAAGGTGTCCTCACACTCCCCGAGGCCCAAAAAGTCCCAGAATGCTCCTACCCAGGTTTGGTTCCTGGACTTAACCTCTGCTGTTTCCTATCTGAAAGACTCTCTGAAGCTTTCACATCCTCTCATAGTAACAGCAACACAACATGGCTGCTTTCCCTCTTTTCTCAGCTATCCCTCCACTGGTGACAGGTCCCTGTGTAGGTGAATCTAATGAAAAGGGTCCTGTACTTACTGTCCCCCCGACAGAGCAGCGGCCCCAGTCGATACACCACCTCAGATCTGGGCCTTCCGACATCTGTGATCACAATCCGCGTCACTGGCAGATGCTCCTTGTGGGAGAGCAGCCCCGTGTCATTTGTCCTGGAGAGAAAACACGCTTAGCGCTGCACTGAGCCAGAAAGCCTGCACATGACTATCAGGAGGGAGCCACCTCTCTGAACATTCTGAACGGTCCACGGGGTTAGTGGGTCTAAAGCTCGGACTCCTGCCATCGACCATGGAGAAGGAGGTAGTGGCTGACTTAGAAGGGGGGTCATCTGGGTCAGCCAAGCTCATATTCTCAACCTAAAGAAGTAGCTGGCTGCTCTTCCACATACAGATATTGCAGGGGTTTAGTGTGGTCTTCATACATGTGTACAGTGTTCTTACCACCTGGTCAACCACTTGAGCAGCCACAGTTAAATTTCCCTGCCTCAGAGTTTTACTTTAATATATATATATATATAATACATATTTAAAACTATGTTTTTATTCAGTTTACCCTTACTGAGTTCATAAAAAAACAAAAACAAAAACACACTGACTGGAAGGCAAAATAGGCATAAAATGCAATATTCTCTAAATGCTAAGCATTTAGTGCTTGGAAACACCTGTCCCTAGACATCAGACCCAGCACATGCTCTGCCAATCTCTGTTACATGTGCAGTACTAGGTAACAGGTAACAGGCACAATCTCTGCGCTCACACCAACCTTCCATCCCAGATGCCACAGGTGCTCACATTACTGTCATGAATGTCTGTATAAAACTGAATGTTTGGTGGAAACGAATCAACTGCTCTGGAAAATATGAACTGGGATGGGGAACAGCCTGGCCTCATCTAATCACCAACATCTCTTTTTTCATTTTCCCCATCTCTAAAATAGGGGATTATTTACATTTTTGCATTATCTTCATATTTATTGTTGCTGTTGTTAAGTGCCGTAGAGTTGGTTCCAACCCATATAGACCCTGTATATAGGGTTTCCAAGGAGCAGCTGGTGAGAATGAACCACTGACCTTGGAGTTCAAACTGGCTTTGCAGTCCAACACACTAATTTAAGGTGCCATACCAGAAGATTGGGTAAGCACTAACTTCTACCCTTTCTTTGGCTGCCAAACCCTTTGTTAGATTGCAAACAAAGAGCTGAGTCAAATTACATATAAGGGTGTTTTAATTTTTCTTATGTTAAAAACATTGTCTTTGGATTTGGCACAAATACTGAGATATAAAATAATAAATGTTTAAAAATCAAATAGTAATATTAAAAGTCAATATAAAGCATGTTATATTGAAGAAATTGAATCATTTGCCAGATTTATTTTCAATAGTTCATAGCTCTACCTAGTTAAGTTTTCATTTGGTCATGTTAATGAAGAGAAAACAACACAGATTTTCCAAATACATTGATTCTTGATTTTGGTATAGAACAGAGTGGACAAGCTAGAACCATGCCTTATGGACTGTGGAAGTGGTCAGACTGGTAAACAGAAAATGCATTAATCAGTATCTGTAAGGGCCACTCTCTGCAGAAATAAGTCAAGTGTTTTAGTTGGTAGAGCTGCTGTTGGGGTCTGGCCATATAGTGCAGAGATATAAATCTAGTAGTTATTCTGAGGAATCTCGAATGTCTAAAGAACCATTTTACCAAAAAAAAATTGTACAAAGAGTACTGAAGAGGTAGTTCTCTGAATTGCTATGGTGCTTAGCAAGGCATTGAGATAAGACTTTGGGACTGATTTGAAGATGATGTTATTGTCCAATTGAGGGAAGAAGAATGGATACTCTTCACCAAAACTCCACTGTCACTGAGGTAATTCTGACACATAACAACCTTACATAGGGTTTTCAAGGCTATAAATCTTTATGGGAGTCAGACAGCTTACTTTTTCTCCTGCAGAGCATCTGATGGGTTTGAACTGCTGACCTTATGATGAGAAGCTCAACACTTGTGAATAAACATGGCTCCCCAATTCCCTGTTTTAGGCAGGTGACTCTAGATTTTCCAGGGTAGCTTGTCTTCTTCAGAACTATCTAAGCAATAGGTACTCATGCTGCTCCTAATTTTTTTTTTTTTTCTTTCTTTCCATGAATGGCCCATTGAAATTCAAATTTATAAAGCATGCATTTGGCACATTTTCTCACAGGTCTCCAGAATTCAGTAAAATAACTTCCAAATCTCTTTTTTAAGGACACTTCTAAAATGATAGTATTGATGTTTATGACTTTCTAGAGAAGCATAACATCTTCTCGGAATCAAATCTCCTTGTTTTGCAGAGGACATTATGTGATACAAAGTGTATCACAGGAAACTTTTAGAAGTTAAAAAAGAAAGGAGAGATATGTTCCATTAATTTCCACATTCAGTGACCGTTCTGTGGAAGAGGCATACAAGTAGTGGCATTATTAACAGTAAGCTCGTTCAGAAAAACTTTTATGATCGAATTTGGAGACAGTTCAAATGAACAGAATGATTTTAACCTTCTTCTAATAAAATTTAGTTACAGACAAAAATATATATTGTCAGTTAATTGTCTTTTTTTCCCCTCTTAATCTCTTTGTAGATATCTCAGGCACGCAAAATCACTTAAACAATAATATAATGAACACCAATGTACCCATATCATTCCAACACCTGAATATTATCAGTGCAAGAGAAAAACAAAACTGTCAATAAATATGGATAACATGATCTGCATGCAGAAAATCCAAGAGCGTCTGCAGACTATTAGAATTAAAACTATGAATTTAGTTGGGGCATTGGATATAAGAACAGTTTCATAAAAATCATTCCTGTTTCTATATGACAGCAACACAAAAATGGAAATGAAACGCAAAAAGATGTAAGTTACATTGCATCACAAACCATAAAATTTCTATGAATAAAACTAACAAATGATAGTCATGACCTCTTTATTAAAATAACTAGTGTAAAAACTTTAAATTGGGAAACTCAGTATTGTAAATATGACAATTTCTCTCATTTTATCTAAAATGTCACTGTAAACCCAATAAAAACTACAGCAATGGAAGCTGAAATAAAGGTTCAAACTCATCAGCTACTCATCGGAAACCCTGTATAGGGTCACTATGAGTTCAAATAGACTCGATAGCACTTAACAACAACAACAAATGAAAACACGAGACCCCCCAAAAAAAACTTCTACCAAAAAAGAAACAGCAGAATATGAATTAATAAACCTACATACAATGTGTTACCTGCAAACCTAGAAGACAGAGTTAATTGAATTTCATGTTACCTATAAATAGAAAAATAATAGCAAAGCCCGGTAAGTTACTTCAAATATTCTGAACAACATTTTTTCAGGAAGAAAGGGAAGTTTTGGGACAACTGCTTGTGAAAGAGAAAAGAGAAACTGGAGTTTGACTTAAAACTTATCTAAAAGCACTACCAGAGAGTGAAAAATCTACCTAAGAGTGAAAATGTGTGAAAAGTGTATGCAGATCCATGACAACAGTGGAAGGCCTTAATGTCCATTCAAGACACCCTGCAGAGAGAATGCCTTAAGGGAGGGGAGGGTTTAAAGGAATTGTCCATTTCCTTAAAAAGATGTGTGTAAAATAGGAAACAAGCAATAGGGGGAGCTTTAAGATTCTTCTAGGAAATGGAAATTTAAAAAGTAGAATAAGGTGAAGGTAATACAATCTCTGTCTTCACACCTTCCCTCCAACGCAAGAGACTTGGGGGTGCACTTGACCTAGGAAATGTAAACCACTTTTCACACACATGCCTAGCCACAGACACACAAAGTTGTGATGTTTATATACACAGACTACTAAAAAGAAAATTAAACAAACAAATGAGCAAAATGCAAATGAAAACAATAAGTCAATAAAAATTCCCTCTGATATCTGGAAGTCTAACCAATGCAATTAGGAAAGAGAACAAAACAAAGTGTATAACACCAGAAAAGAATTAGAACCGCCTCTATTTGCATGAACATATACAGGAAACCTTAGAGAATCATTGCCAAAATTAAACCAAACAAGAATACCAAGGGTTTCCTAAGGAGCTCTGGTAGCTTAGTGGTTATGAATCGGGCTGCTAACCTCAAGGTCGACAGTTTGAAACTACCAGCTGTTTTGCGGGAGAACGATGAGGCTTTCTGCTCCCATAAAGATTTGCAGCATCGGAAACCCTGTGCAGGGTCACTATGAGTCAGAACTGACTCCACGGTATGTAACAACAACAACAGGGTTTCCTAGGTTACAATCAGATGGTCATACATTTCTCCTGCTGAGTGGCTGGTAGATTTGAACCAATCGAACACTTTGACCACTCCATCAGCTGGGCTCATAAACAATAAAAGAACTCAATAAATCAGCAAGTTATAATAGTAAAACAGCTTCATATACAGAAACAACCAGTTAGAGGATAAAATGGCATAGGAAACATGCACAAATAAAGTCAAATGTAAGAATCAACACAAATATGAGAAAAGGGCAAATAAATGTATCACAGATTTCCACGTTCTCCAAGCTGCTGGACCACTTCTCAGACTTGACTCAGAACACTCTCCCTTCCCTCATTCTTTGCCCCCTCCCCCACCCCAGCTCAGGTTTGGCAACTCCCTGCAACACCACACAGAACAGGTGAACTTACAGTTAAGTGGTTTATTAAGGATGTGACAAGATGCAATTTAGGATCAGAAAGTATGTAAGCAAAGTGTCCCTTCTTCAGAGCAAGAGTAGCTCTTAGCTCCTCTCGGCCCCCCAAGGCAAGTTCCTCTCTGACTTGCCATCTGTCATTGCCAACTCTGTTCCTGGACCTCTTCTGGGCCTGTTGCCTCTAGCTGTGACACTGGCCCCTCTGGACCTCTTGCTGTCTTCAGTGTTACAGACCTTGACCCAGTTTACAACTTTCAGAACATTCTTTGCCTCCTCTCTGTCTTTGCTTCTTTCTTCTTTCTTCTGCTTCTCTTCCTGCTTCTTTCTGTCTCTAAACCTCTGTGGGACTAGTTGCTTACACACACAAACTCCCTGTTAATTTCAAGGTGTGGCACTCTCACCAGGGTCACAAACTGACCAATTACCTTTCAGTAAGCCACAGATACTTCATTTGCATAGTACGATACAACTAA